AAATATACCTCACGGCTCTTTTTTGCAAGACAAAAACAGATTGCACATTTCTTAAAGTTGCATAGCCCCAGAATGCGATTCCATATCTGATTTGGGAATCTATCAATGCATAATAGGTTTTTCTTGCCATATGTTTGCCTAGTTCCTGCCGTATGCTTTTTACAATATAGCAAGCTTGCGAAACTTTTTTGTTCATTGTTTGGATATGGTGTTCAAATTTTAAATTAGCATCTATATGAAAACCAAGGAATTTAACGAAGCTCTTGTTCTCCAATACGCTTTCATTAAGTGTTACACTCTCCAAGTTGCACTTAAACGAAAGAATATTTGTTTTTGACACATTGAATACCAACCGGTTACAGTCACACCACTCCTTTACGATACCCAGGTCTTGTTCTATAATGCGCGCTAGAACTGAAGCATCCCTGTGTTTCCACAAAATTGTTGTATCGTCCGCAAAGATGGTAAAAAATCCGGAAATCGCCAAAGAAGCCAGATCATTCACGTAAAGCAGGAAGAGGAGCGGTCCAAGCACAGACCCTTGTGGGACGCCATGCGTTAAATTGGTGAGTTCTGAATTGTTCTTTTGATTCAATCTTACAAATTGGCTTCTCCCAGTTAGGTAAGACCTAAACCACTCCAACTCCCTACCCCTGATTCCACAAAGACTTTGATTTCCAGTCAATGTCTTTTTTTGAGTTCGCCTGCGCCTTTTTCTGTTTGGTAGGCAAAAAGGTCGACAATGGCAAATCTGCATCATCATCGGACTGCTGGACGACTTCTTCCCCTTCTAGTGTTGCGTTATCATGGTTGGATTCATCATGGTTGGAATCATCATCACTATCATCATTGGACTGCTGGACGACTTCTTCCTCTTCTAGTGTCGCATTATCATGGTCGGCATCATCATGATTGGAACCATCATCACTATCACTCTCTGGTATAAAAGAACGGTCCTCCAAACTATCTGAATCGCTTACATCATATCCGTCATCACTCAGACCAGAAAAATTCTCCCAATAAGCCGCAAGATCTTGGTCGCTTAGTGGTTTGTTTTTGCTCATACTAGAAAAATGAAAAAGAAAATACCTGTAGAATATCACTCATAAATACATGATGTTGCCAATCGGCAAGACTCAGAAAAAAACATGAAATGGAGAGAATGCATAGTGTTGCCGATTGGTAACATAACAAAAATAACCTTACTTCACAAAAAAAACCTAGATTTTCACCAAAGAACATGATATATGCATAATACATACCTGTAAGAACTAGAAAATCAATTTTTGCTTCACCCACTAAAACTCTTTTCAAAAACACCACTTTTTGAAAATTCACAACATAAACAGTGCGAAGGACACCTGTGGAATAACCAAAATGGAGGCTCGTCATTCCTACGCGCGCTCCCTTTAGCGACTTGTGGGCATCTTGTATTTGGGAGGTTTGTAGACAAATGGACACGCTATGCAGCAGCGCAATATTTGCCATCGGGTGCGTTCCAGGCGAATGATTAGAAGTATGTTGCCGAAAAGCAACAATATGCATTTAAGGGTTAGGACGGCAATTAAGCCCGAATGAAAACATTTCATAATAAACCCGGACCGCGAAATCCTTACAAACTTTATCAAAATCTCATTTCATTACTGTTCAAACTCCCTTTTTCATTAATGTATATTGATTTTCTTCACTAACACTCTTTCATTTATATTAATACCTAAATCGAATGGGTCTATTCCCAATTTGAATTTGTTTCTTCCCAAATCAAAATTGATTAGTTGCAATTTGCAGTTGATTAGTAGATACCAAATAAAAAATGATTAGTTCCAATTTGATTTTGTTAATTCCCATTTTGATATTGTTAGTTCCCAATTTAAAGTTGCTTATTAGTCCCAATTTGAAGTTGAAAAGGTATAGAGAAAGCTTACATCAAACCTAAAAATAAGGTCTATGCTAGACATATATGCTTTTCACTTATTATTGGCGTAGCATTATCCATGGAAATTTGGCAGGTTGACCCTCGTATAATAATGACAGTATATGTCAAATTCCAGACAGTTTTAAGTGTGGTTTACATAATTTCGTAAGTGCCGCGGTATTAAAATTTTCTGGCCTATCAAATCAAATTTGACACATTTTTCAATAATGCTATATTATAAACGGAACCTAACTATTTTGCTTACCTGCAAAATCTAATGACATTTTTTAAAATTCGGCATTGTCAAATTTCTTTCGTATTGAAGATGCCGAAAATAATCTCAGAAAAAAAACAAAGGGAAATATTAAAATGTCATGGTTATTAAAAAAAAAATAAACCAGAGGCTCTCCAGGGAACAATTGAAGCCCAACTTGCAGATATATTTGAGGTAGGTATAACTTAAATGTAGATGTGAAGCCATTTCTTATTCAACCAACATTTTTCTTAAATTCTAGATGGAAACCCGGACTATTCAAAGAATTTTGACTGGACAATATACAATCAAAAAACCTTTAGGCCGACCGAAAAAGACAGAGACTATTATGGACCGAATGTTTAAAGAAGATTTACAACGACAAATTTGAAAATACAATTCTAAAAATGAATATTTTAAGTACATTACAAACATTACTGACATATGCAAAAGAAAATTTGGAATTTAAGGGAGGGCAAACAAGTTTATATAAAATTTTAAAATCTATGGGATATAAATTTAAAGCAGTAGATGGACGCAAAATTTTATGTGAGCAGTTGATGACCAAGATCAAGCACTTGAAGATAAGGTGAATAAATTAGAAATACAGTTCATCAATCAAGGTAGTGTTGGAGCATTCTTTTGACGCTTCTACTTCCTGGACCATGTATATCCGACAATTTGAAGCTGCTGCAAATACCAATGGATGAAATGATTAAGAAAAACCTACAGCACTGATAGTGACGCGACGAGGACCTGCCTTAGATCTTCTTCAGTCCATTTCTTCAATCTACCAACAGAATTACGAGCATCTAAGTGAGTTTTGAATAATCATACAGTTTCCTATGTACAGTTTCTGATTAATCATACAGTTATGTATATTTTCGTATGGTTCTCCATTCGTAGGTCGATGGAGTATACGTCACTGGTATTTTTCTGTTTCTGACTAACCCCTCAACCTTCCATGTTAGTATGAATTCAATCCTATGTACAGTTTTCGAATAATCATACATCAGTTTTGTATATTTCCGTATAGTTACTCGTAGGTCGATCGAGTGTACGCCACTGGTATTTTTCTGTTTCTGACTAACCCCTCAACCTTTCCATGTTAGTATGAATTCAATCCTATGTACAGTTTTTGAATAATCATACAGTTTCCCATATATAGTTTTTGAATTATCATAGAGTTTTGCAATCAAAAATTCATCAAAAAACTAAATGTGACAATGTCGTCCTATAATGAGAATTATTGTTCATTGACAAGGGAGGAATAGTATACAGGGTGTTCCAGCCGAGAGCGACCCATTTTAAATGCTTATAACGTATAAACCACGTGTGCTAGCTACCTGCGGTTTGTGCCATTCGATTTCTCTTGGCCTAAAGTTTTTTCTAATAAGTTGCACATTTTTTTAAAACTTATACAGGGCCAATAAAAAATCAATTTTTCAACATCGAAATTCTCCACTATTTTTAATGGAGCACCCTATATATCACAACGTCAAAAAAAATATACATGTTCAAGGTATCCATAAACCAATTGACATCGTCCTAAAACTTGAAGATTTAGCAGTAAAAAGTCAAAAACGAAATCTTGGTGTTTTTGCAATCGCATGCAACTTCATGTTGTCTGTACTTGATATCACTATGGCAAACAATTTTGTAACGAGAATTATCTCTGGAACTCGTTAAATAGAGATACCCCAACACTAACAGTTTGGTGTGCAATCTCTATTGAGATGAAATACAGACCATTTTCATTAATGAACCAACGATAAGAGAAACTATATACACTGATATGTTCTTTTTTCCACAGTTACGAAAGAAGCGTATCTTGGATGATATCTATTTTCAGCAGGATGGTGCCCCCACCTAATTATTATCTAATAGTAAGGGAATCACTAGATACGACATTTAGGGAAAGACCGAGAGAAAGGCGGATGAGGAGAGCTGGTCCTATAGGATGGATATCTTACTCTCCTGACTTGAGAGCTCCAGACTTTTTTCTCTGGGGTTATGTCAAGGAAAAATGATGTAATCTTTTGCTCAAATAGCCTAGAAGATCTTAAACGAAACATTTGTGATGTCATTGTAACGATTCCCCAGTAAATGTTACACAATTCATTCAACCATTTAGGTACTGATCCATAAATGCCTGGAATAGAAAGACTAACATATACATATACAGCATTTTGTATAGTTTTATGCAGTTTTTATCAACTTTTTATTAGGTAAACATAGGTTCCAAGCTTTGTAAATATGCGTTTGCACAAATACCAAGATTACGATTTTGATTTTTCACGGCTAAAACTTCAAGCTTTAGGGACGATGTCTATTCGTACATGGATACCTTGAACATGAATCTTTTTTTTTGGCGTTGTGATATACAGGGTGTTCCATTAAAAATGGTGGAGAATTTCGATGTTGAAAAATGGATTTTTTTTTATTCGCCCTGTATAAGTTTCAAAAAAATTTGCAACCTACTATAATATCTACAGGCAATAAACTGGGGGCAGCTAGTCATTTTCATTTGGAAAATTTTCTAGAATTTCCATAGATCACTCATTCATAATATATACTTGATTTTTCTTTGAGAGCTTTTTTTGATAAAAATTCTAGAACTCAATAAAAGATTTGAGAATGTGTTCTGCCGAATATTCCAAAATCGCCACTAATTACTATCAGTACTTACATCTAAATTATAACTGTAGCTATCCAACTTTTCGCTAAAAAACCTCCGTCCCTTTTCTGTAGTTTTTACATGTCCACCTTTCCGAATTTTCTATAATATTATCCCAAAACCAATAAAAATCGCCTTGAATTAAGATCATTTACCTTATCTAATTGTTCATTGCTCGCTGGCATTCCGGCACCAAATCCCACCAGGCAAAAACCAACAAGTACCATGAGTTTCGCCATTTTTTTATCTGCAATGATAATAATCAGTTTAATTATTGTCTAATACAAACTTGACACTAAATAAAAAGAAAGTCGGCATTTATAATTTTATTTTTCACAGCGGTTAATGAAAGCAAGGAACTAAACTAGACAAATTTCATCAATAATTAACTAACTGCATTTGAAGCTTTTCAAATTAAAAAATCTGAAACCTAATTTTAAATAATTGATTGCCTTAAATAAATTGGGAATATTAAAGCAATCATTTCCGATAATTGAGAAATTAATATTAGTAAGTTCTTAAATTGCCAAATTGATTTGGGGTGACATGCTCGATGAATTTTAAAAAAATTGCAATTTTTATAGGTATAGGTACCTACATATTTTGCTTTGCGTGTAATTTATTGATAAATATTTTAAAGTCAGGAAAGATCTTGAAACATTAACGAGAAGCATAGAAGGTTATTGCAGAAAGCCTTTATAATAAATTTTCTAGTTATTACTTTATTTCCACGAACCGCTTTGTGTTTACTGGTCGATTTTCTCAGTATGAGTTAATAATCTGAGCAAATTTTTTTTAGTTCTAGATGCAGGCTCTTGAAGCCTCTCAAAGCTTGCTTTTTTCATTTTACTATGTAGGTGGCTAACAACTTTGAAGCTCAAAATATATTAAACCAAGCTTGTCATGAAAGCTTTTCGTTGGATAACATTTGCATTTGAAGCAATAGTTACAGCTATTATTGGTCACAAAGGATTGGGTAGGAAGGATCTTATAAGGTGAAAATAATTTGGGTTTTAGTACATCAGGTATCCATCACTTTTTAGGCTACAACTCTGGAAACACCCTTATAATTTGTTTAAAAAGGTATGTTGTAAGGTAGGTATTCACCAGTAATTTTAAATAAGAAAAGATTCTATAACCCTGTCTCTGTATATTATTTATTTGTGACAAAATATGGACAAGCATTTAAAGAGCCTTCTTAGTGATTTTCCAAAGTGGCGAAGATACATCAGTATAGAAATACAAACGTTTTTTGAAAGAACCACCCCAAATGTTAAAATTTTATTTTTCCACTAAAATTTACAAGCAACTGACCTTTAGTTCCCAAGATGAAACGGTAGATTCTGAATGAATTTCTATTGAAAAGTATTTTTTTTAAACAAAAAAATTACATTTTCATTTGATTTGTTTTAAGCTTGATAATAACCAATTTATTGATTGGGAACCACCTTCCTCAATAACTCAAAATTTTCATTTCAAAAACCATCCTTCATTTGAACCTTTACTTTTGGTACCCATGGCTGATGTTAACAAAGGTTTTTTGTAGGTATGATGGTGCTGCTGGATTCAAAGACATTTTAAATGGATCTTCTTCGTCAGTAAACTCTTAAATTAAAATAATTGACACTTTTTGGATAGCTACCTTGCGACACACTAGGATTAGGTACTGGTACTTTTTTGGGTGCCGTTGTATTGTACGAAATAGATGTATGTTTTATTGTTTTTATGTTTGAATAATATATATTTTATTAATGAATCGCTTCAAGGAATTTTATTCAATTAAATAAATCAGGAAGCAGGAACTATTGAGCTCAATCGACAATCACAGCCAAATGTTGGAAGGAGAATCTCTTTCTCTTAGTTAAGAAATGTGTGAAAAGTTGAGTAATTCTAAACAAACAAAAAAAATCAATACATACCTACCGGTAAAAATTCCAAACCCAAAATCACTGAATTGAAACGATATAAAGTTCTGCCACGCACCGGTTACTGCAGTAAACTGCCCGAGTGAAAGAAGTTTGCCAGCTTATGCGAACACCGATATCTCTCCTACCAAAAGAAAAAACGTCTTATTTCCAACGATAAACTGCAATACCTACTTGACTGCAAGTGAAGTATTACAAAATTAATCGGTTTTAATTGATGAATCATAATTTCGGGCCAAATGGGGGAGATAATTTGTTCAAGTGACACACTTTCTGAATAATTGCATATTCGGTTTTCGATGATTAGGAAGTTATAGGTCGCCATTGCCAAATTGAATACGGAATAAGGAAATAAATGGTTGGTGCGTGATGATCATGTAATAATACTAGTTTTTTCAGGAAAGTTTATTAGAGTAGGTAAGTGACTTTTAATGGAACCAAATCTTCCAAATTATAGTTGTATTTGATGGAAACGTTGTGTTACTTTCCGTTGTAGTGAGAGGACTACTATTAGAAAATAATTAACAATTTATTTGAATGATTTTTATTAGAAAGAAGGCAAATATAATCAGCAATTTACAACCAAATTGAGTGTCGAAAACATTTCGGTGATGCCTCCATCCAACTACAATTCACTAGAGATTATTCCTCAGGATTGATTGATTTGAAAGAGGAGCAGGTAGACGCGCACGTGGCCCTTTGTGCTCCCCCTCTTGGTGCAGCCCTATTTTACCTTAGGAGCCCGCAATTTTTAATAAAGGTGCAAACCCACTCAAATCGGATATGCTTTATTTCATCAGGTTCCAGAAACCTGTACCCGAGGTATCGTAGTCTGCGACTGATGAAAGCGCCATATCCGAAGACTATATGCTTGATAGTTTCATCCATTTCGCTGAAGTACCCACCTTTCGTCTCATTACTGAGTCCGATTCCGGTCTTGTTTAGTTTTAGGTGGCTTTTTCCGGTTTGAAGAATCTTGTATAAAGATCCGAGACTGTCTACTCTAAGGCCTCTTAGATCCAGATATTCGTATTGGAACTGGTCGTTCAACTAGTTCCTGGCCTTGGTTTTCACCAGGCAGGAAGCAACTACAAGTATGCAGGCTCAGGCCCAATAAAGGTAGTGTTGCTACCTTCATGCGCCAGCTGGTCCGTCTTCTTGTTGCCTTGTGAACCTGTTACCCGGGACCCAAACAATTAAGGGGGACTTTGTTGAGCCCACTGATTCGATCATACAGTCAAGCGTGAGCCTTGACATTACCTTGTCTGACCAAATGGCTCGGAGTCCTTCCTGACTGTCGCAGCATATACATATAAATATGCTTGCCCGAATAATAACTTCTCTGCAGATTCTCCTAAGCATACACCTGTGGGGCGTAGATCTCAACCGGTATACCGTTAGGTATCGATCCAGTGCAAGACTTATTCTCGCTACGGTCTCTCTCATATACACGAGGCCTCGCTTCCATCAAAGACCCGACTGTGTACCAGATAAGCCCCTTTGGCTTGAGGAAGCCTGGGTCAGTCTCTAACCAGTCGTCCCTTGCAGAGATGACGATCTTCTATTATCTGGAGGGGGCTGAGGTTTATGGCATTGCATCTCTTCTGGTGAGTAGGGGCTCCTGTCTGATAGTATCAGTCCAGGCCATTGCATGTCCCAAGTTCACCTCCCTATGAACCCATTGCCCTAAGCGTAGAGTCTGACTGAATCTTCCCGGGCCCGTGCCTCCACAAAGAAATGAAGTGGTATTATTTCCAGTATGGTCTCCCTTGCCTGCATTGAGCTGGTTCCAAAGACTCGAACTGTAACCATGCAGGTGGATTTGCGCGTTCCACCAAACTGAACTGCCATCCATACATGATCATTGGTCTTATCACTGTTGTGTAAAACCAGTGGACTATGTGGTGTTGTGAGCCCCAGGTTCGTCCGATGCCTCTTCTGCGGGCTAGCAGTGGCTCTCTGTTGACGTGATCGTTCCAGCCTGGAGTCAATGATAACTCCTAAATATTTATCCAGCAGCCCCAGCATGCCCAGACTCTATGGCCTCTCTAAAATCCACAAGATAGGAGAACCAATTAGGCCGGTGATCAGCTTCACTCACACACCGGTTTGCTTGATTTCAAAATTTATTCTCAATCTCCTAAAGATGCTAACAGACTTCAGTCCTAGGCATGGTATCAAGAACTCCTGCTCAACATACCACGAGAATCTCTTCTTGTTTCTTTTGACGTCTCCAATCTTTTCATCACAGTTCCCAAATCTGAAACAGTCAATTTGGTAGGGGACATTCTTTCACAAAATGGGGTCAGTGACCCAGACAAAATCAACGTTATTTCCTTACTTATCACTTATCCTTACTATCACAGGACTTCTTCTCTTTTAATAACAAGTTCCACAAATAACCTGATGGCCTACCAATGAGTAGCTGCATTTCACCTTTCTTGGCAGATGTCTTCATGGCAGTGGCGGCTCGTGGTGTCCAAGTAAGGGTGGGCGAAAAAAATAAAAAACAGCCGTGGGATTTTTTTTTTTCAGATTTTCAAAGTCGCTGCCTTTTCAATTATTGTGGCGGTGTTCACCTTGCCCATTAAATCTACAGAAAACCAACGCAAACCGACCATCCAATTTCGAATAATTCGAATCATCCACACCAACACAAAATGGCGGCCTTCAACTGTTACATACATAGACTACTAAACCTCCCTCTATCGACCGAAGACTATCATAATGAAGTGAAAATTCTGAAACAATTAGCTTACAACAATGACTATGACCCCAAATGTATAAACATTCTAATTAACAAAATCAAATATGACAAAATCAAAAAAGAACTTTTCCCTGCACAACACACTGACAGCTTCAAATTTGTTTCCTTACCTCTTGTTGATCTAGTTTTTAATAAAAACGTCAATAATTGTGTCAACCAATATTTGGATAATATGAAGATATCCTTTAAAACCACAAACCAACTGGGTTCTCAGGTGATCAATACAAAAGATAGGGTGGATCCACTTACAAAAAGTGGAATCTACAGACTCTCTTGTGGTTCTTGTAACAATTCTTATATAGGCAGGACTTGCAGATTTTTCAAAACTCGCATCAACGAACACATGTCCAAAACCAACTCAGCCTTTGGTGAGCACATCCGCACCTCAAAACATAACTTCGACCCTCAGTCCAACTCAAAGATCATAAGAGCAGTTTCAACAAAAAATTTCAATGGACTCGACTTCCTCGAGAACATTGAGATTAGCAAGGAACTTAAAAATAGTGACCATCATTGTCTCAACACCCAAGTCAGCCTCAACAGATGTTACATACCTTTACATGGGAGACTAATTGATTAGTTTCATAATTATTTATTAATAGAAATTTTATTTTTTCAATTTCGTATCCCGATCAAGACAACATAACCTCACTCGCGCATATTTACAACTGCTCTATATTGAATTTCTTCTTCCCTCGCTTGCAGGTAGTACTAATGATGGCGAAAGCTGAAAGCGCTCTACTACACTGAATTTCATTAAACAACTAGCTGACCCGGCGAACTTCGTACCTCCTCTGAATTATTAAATACCTATTAAATGTTGTGTTAACGTATCTATTAACTGAATTAAATTCAGTTTTTTTCGATGGTGAATTTGGCTTTGGTTGAAGAAAATTAATTTTTACTCTCTGGATCAGAAGTCACCTAAAATTAAAATTTTACATCATCCCTTTTTAGGCATCTTGTGGGCATTATTCTTATAAAGTGTACCACCAAATAAATAAACTCAGGCACAGGAATGTTCAAAAAATGTAAAGAAAACAAAAAAAATCTCCAGCGCAGCCCCGTTTCATTTTATCTGCACTGCATGCACTGCAATACTCCATCTGTTCTACTGTATCTGCACTATTCTATCTGATCTACTCTTTCTGCATCACTTTATCTGATCGGAATAGTGGAATAGTTCTGTTCGGAATAGCTCCAGTTCCTTAGCAGTATTCTGTTCTACTGTATCTGCAATGAAATTACCGCGCAACGGCGAGCTTCGTTCTAGGTACCTATCATATATGGCGCCGTATACAAAATGGTTGTGGCGGACTCATAACCTGGCTCTCTGCCACTCGACACCAGCCGGATGGAGCACTCCGAACAGTCGGCACGGAACACGGCTGTCAAGGGATGCCTAAAAGGAGAAAGGGAACATAGCCACAGAACGTCAATGGTCAAACGTCAAGAAATGACAGGGAGACCAGTTCGCGCTCTTTCGGAATGAACGAACCTTAGGGCGAGTTCTCATGAGCGTAAGTTGACATTTCTGGCGTAATCACGTGATAAATTGGTTGGGTTTTATTGGTAATATATTCGCCATTCTAGATATTCTACCAATCAAATTACAACAGATTATCACGTGATTACGCAAGAAATGTCAACTTACGCTCATGAGAACTCGCCAGGAACGAACCAACAACAAAATAAAATACACAATTAAAACATTGTCATTCTATTTATTTTCGGACATTTTTACTGTGAAGAACAATTAAAAATAAAGTGCTTTCGTCAAATTGTTTTTGTGCAAAGTGTGTGACAATAAAATCCACATGGTTTGCAATGAAAATGTGACGGTAAACTTGGTATCGGTTATAAGAGATGGCGCCGTATGCGGGCTTAGTGAGTTTTTTTCATAAATAAGTAAAATAGATAAATTTTGTTTTTGTTTTTTTTTTATTTTTTCGATTTATTATGTTAGGATGGACAAAGACAAATCCAATAAAGCAAAAATCATAAAAATCAGTCCAGCCGTTCTCGAGTTATAAGTGCTCACACACCAACACAACTGTGTTTTATATATATAGAATTTGCATGAAATACACTTTGTTCCTTTCCTTATCTGGTCACATGCACACAGCCTCCTTTCCTTGGTTGGTCCTAAATATTTGACAGAACCGGAATGAGCAAGTCTCTATCCAAAGAGCGTGAGTTCTTCCAGACCCACGTGTCTTCGCTTTGTTAATTAAATGGTACTTTTTCGGTCTTATCTGGGTTTACCGAAAGCCCGTGATTTTTACGCCATCTTTCGACCCATGTTGAGAGCTCTTTGCATGATCCCTTTGATGGTGCTAGGTACCCATCCAGCCACGAAAATGACAAGATCGTTCGCGTAGCATTGAGTGTAAATACCTTTCTCGTTCAGAGTGCGTAGCAGCTCATCCAGCACTAGGCACCACAGCAAGGGCGATAGTACACCCCTTGCGAGCAGCCTCTGACAACGGCCGAGCTGATCTTCGCACTTCCTTCCAATCGAGCTTGCAATGACACAGATCCATTTGACAATGGTGTTCTCTATACCAAAGCTTTCTGCAGGATTCAGGATACCTAGACTCACGTACAACTTCTGAATTTGGACCACATCAATCCAAATCACAATATTCTTGAACCGGCTTTTTTTTAAGCGTTAGCATTGAACGATGCCTATATGTATCTAGAGTGTATTATCCTTAGGAGTTTCCAATAAAACTACTACATAGTATTGCCAGTATTGTATTTATTAACTCAAAATCAAGCCTGCTCGTGTTTGCAGCTGCCCGTACTGGGTTATGTCAATTGCAGGTACCCCTCTAGGCATGAATACCGATCAGTGCATTGCTCGTCCACCGCTAGGTGATGGCGCCACACTATGGCTGCATTATGTAGCAACAGGTATCAACAATTTATAATACCTATTTCCTTTCTTACAATAGAACAACTCAGAACTGATTACAAAATATAAACAAATGCTTACTCTACGAATAACAACAGTTCAACTACAAATCAACAACTTAAAATTGATTACAAAATATAAATAAATGCTTACTCTACAATTCAAGTCTTACAGGAGTTTTAATTATACTACCGGACAGTCTTAGTTTGGGGAACACTGGGCTCACTACTTGACTGAACACTGACACTGTTACTTATCATTTTTCTTATCAGCGCCAAAACAAATTTTTGAATTAGTGTTTTCAAAGTCTTGTTTATAAGGGACAAATTCATTATCCGATAACTTAAGATCTAACCTATTTCTTCGTAATACATCACTCGAACAATTTAAACCTTGATATGATCTAGGTGCGCTATGTTGTTGTACAATTTTTCCTAGCTCCCAGTATTTATCAACATGATTATATAGCATAACATTTTGATCATCCTTCAATGGTTTAAGATCCGTTGCAGTTCTTTTAAGTTCATTAATTTTCTGTCTCTGTAGCAATCCTTCTTTGACATTTTGGCAAAAAACCGGCTTTAATAAATCTACACAGATTGGCAACTTTGTTTTACAAATACGTCTTAAAAATAGTTGCGATGGAGAGTAATTAAAATATTTCAAGGGGGAATTCCTATATTGCAATACAATACAACATTTTAGTAATTAGGCCTGCGAGTCACAATACTGAAATTTCAATTCCTAGAAAATTCTTCAAAACTATAGCTACCAAAGGGTACATTATGACAAACAAGTTCATCTGGACTACCAAATTTAGAGAAAATAATGATGAGATCGAAATAAATTGCAATCCCTTTGATATCACCAAATGGCTCGTCATTTAATTTTTGAAAAACCTCAGGGGCTGAGCTTCTGCCAAATGGCATGCAACAAAATTTATATCTCCCAAATGGAGTTGCAAATGCACAGTAATCTGATGATTGTTTATCTAACATGATCTGAAAATACCCGTCCTTCATGTCCAACACCGTAAAGTATTTTTTATTACTTAACTTGCTTGTAATCTCATCTGCAGTAAGAATTAAAAATGGTTGTTTTTTTAATAGCTTGATTAAAAAATTTTGGATCAAGGCATAGCCTTAAATTACCATGTTTTACATGGCGGAAAAGCAGATTTAATGCCTCGGCTGGTTTCCTAGCCTCGGCTATGAAACACCAGCCGCGGCATTAAATCTTGTACTTTTCTGCCTAGTAAAACAAATAACTATTTTTCCCATTCGATTTTGATGGAATTTTATGGTTGAAATTCTTAACTTTCATAACCTTTACTTCATCTTCATTATCATATGATTCTATTTTTTTTGGAACATCCTCCATTGAATCTGATTTGATTTTTGTAGCTTAAGAACCTCAGAAACTTGGGGTTGAATGTTTTAAATTGTAATCACCGGTATTGTTGTTTATATTAATTGTTGTAATGTAAATCAAGCAAGTTTACTTATTTCTATTTAAATTTAGGTTTAAATTGCAATTAGGAATCAACCTGATTTTAATGTAAGTACTACTTCCATTCAGGTGGCACCATACTTTCTACGCCCAGCTCTATATCCTTCCGAATAAAACCAATCGTTCCGGTCGCTAGCGCCACCTTTTTGGCTAGCTTCATCCTGCAATTATTTGAATTGCACTCGACCTTGCTTGAGAACGGGACACTCTTTCTTAGGAGCTTGGTTAAGCGAGTCGACGTCAGTGACGTAAGCAAGCCCTTTTGATTTTTGTCGAACGTGCTAAGTTTTTTTTTAAAGTTTCTTGGAGGGATGAATTCTTCAAATTTCTCTCTGTAGTTCGGAGTGCCAATTATGGCTAATTAAATAAATACTCTATTCGTCCATTCGGCTATTTTTTGTGTGATTTTATTGGAACATGCCAGGTGTGTTACAAATCCATTGAGATGACAAATCCTTTTCTATCTTGAACATCCTTTAAGTTTATAATTATTTCTCCAGCATATCTTTACCTGCAACCAACTCTGGTGATGCCAGTGCCTGTATTGTGTACCATATCATGGTATACCAGGAGCCCCTTGTTCAGGGTGAGTCATGTACTTTTGTGTCTTATTATAAACTTAAAAGACAAGTTTTTTGTCTATTCCTTTAAATGAAAAGAGACCTTCAGTAATTTAGTTTTCTGATAGGGTCCTACATCCAGGCCTAGTATTGGTTCAATTCAATAAAGACTGCATGCTTCCCATAACTTCATGTGCCCCTACTTCTGAGGTCACTTTCATGGTCCCTGATGGATAGTGCCTATCGTCCCCCATCTAGCTCGACTTGGAAGTAGTAACCACAGGTTTCTTTACGTTTAAATTTTATATTAAGTATATTTTTTATTGAGCATTACCCAATTGGATTGGAATATCTCATTTCTATGTTCAGTTCCCTGTTCGGCTGAGCATATGAATTTTCAGAGCAGATAGACTCAAGGAAGTGGTTTTATATTTTTTATTGAGCATCACCTAATTGGAATGTCTCATTTCTATGTTCAGTTCGCTGTTCGGTTGAGCATATGAATTTTCAGAGCAGATAGACCTAACGAGGTCATTTTTTATTGAATATTTTTATTGAGCATTTCCTAATAATTGCAATGTGTCTTTTCTATGTTCAGTTCACTGTCCGGTTGAGCACATGAGTTTTAAGGGCAGATAGACCAGCAGAAAGGGTCCCAATTTAAATAAAATGATCGATAATTATTATTATTTTACACAATAATATTTAGTTAAGTGTAGCACTGGCTTGGAATCAAATTATTCTTACATTTATGATTCTCATCAAATTAACATCCTAAATTTTGTAATTTTTCATTAAACTTTCATTAAACATAATTACGTGGAGAGCGTTGCTGTATTATTTCTTTGTATACATATTATTTCAAATTTAATATTGAGGTGTATTTCGAAGTTTGAAACTTTATAAATAAAAAATTCGTGGCGCTTTCAGTAAACACTCCTTAAACACGAGCAGAAATGCTTTCCGATGAACAGCTGCCGTAAGCAATAACATCTTTTTAATCCAAAGTAATTAAAAACGTTACAATTGGTATAGACCAAAAGGAAAAAATATAAACCTACTCATCACCCATCAATTGATCAAGAAACTGTTAATATAGTCTGTGCACCCAGAGGTTACCCGTTAGTTTTAAAACACAGGGCTGACAATAAATTAGTACAAGACCAAGTGAACGAATTTATATTTAGTTCTATAAAGTCCTTTTCCAAACTTATTTTAAAGTTTTTGAGTTGCCTACATCAAAAATCAATGTCTATAGAGTAGGTGTCTATTTAAAATTTACTTCATAAAAAAAATTACTTGACAAAATTATATTTTAAAGTAACTTTGAAAATTGTACACCAGCACCTGAATTAATATAGGGCCTGTCAACATTTTTGAACAAGATTTATACCGAAATTCCAGTACTTCCCAAACAAAACGAAATTTTGTGTTTAGTTAGATAATAATTATGTTTTACTTGTAAACAATAGGTATGTAATAATAATAATAATAAAAGTTTAATAATCTATACTCAGCATTAGATAAATAGATTGCATTTTAAATAAATACGAAATGTAAATACCTATCATTAAAAAATATATTTCTTCTCAAAATTTCATGACCCACAAAACATTTTGAGAATTTCAGGTAGAGTCCGTCCTCTCTTTATATTTCCCATGATTTATAGCCATGCCGTGTTTTACAACTTAGGGGTAAGCTCTCGGTGCACAGACTTTAATTATTTTCTTATCTTAAACGAAAAGCAATATATACTACACAAAATGCTAAAGTAGATAGGTACCTTAACAAGCAAATTGACACACAAAAAGTAGGTAGGTATTCAAAAAACTTTACTTGAAAACATACAAAAAAAATTGCTAGTATTTGTATTTAAAAACAGTTCTGCATAGAAAAATATGCTAAAATTCTTTTGTAATCCATTCTTTTTACAAAATTGTTTATTTTTTGTAAGCAGTTCCAATAGACTTAGATACTGACACAGAACCGCCAGCGCCTCCTGCAATGTTTCCAACCAAATTGCTCACCGCTCCCAGAGTAGCAATGGGAATCTAAAATTATTCATCCATCATTAGCAATTGTTTTAATTGAATCACTTAAGTACATACATTGAAAATATCTCTCACTAAATTCCCATTGAACTGCTTCCTTACTGTGGCAGTGTAGGTGGTCGGGGGTGGTGCACAGCAATGCTCTTTTCCAGCTGCAACACCAAAATCTCCGTAGCTTCCGATGACGCTATTAGCTGCCGCATCGGCACCAGCTCCAGTTGCTACGACTCCACCGTAGTACGGAGGTGGTGGAGGTGGTACTTCAGCACTATTGATGTTTCTAAAAGAATAATTTAGTTTTATGATAAATAGAAATATTTCAGGCGAATGGACATCAGAAATATGTGCTATAATGCTATAATGTTTTGGAGTGCATCAGAATCTTTTCCTTAAAAAAGCCAGGTAAACCTTAAAATGAGAATATCATGCCTTGGAACATTAGAAGATGTTATTGCAAAGTGCAACAACCAGGGATCAGAAGATCACAAGAATTAACGAGCAGGTCATTAAAAACATATAAGAGTAGCTATATGTGTATGACAAGTTCTATAGAGACGACCGTCGTTGAAGAGATAGAGTTTTGGAAAACCATGAGGAATGTGGTATGAACATGTTCAACAAGTCTCCTGCTCATCTTCACAGAATTTGCAACTACCACTTCCTTCCCAACCACAATTCCATAGGTGTGTCCAGAGAAAACCCGGTTTGAGTTTTGAGACATTTTCTGCTAAGGTTGACCAGCAGTTCTGATCTTTTTGGGTTATAGCCAATAGATCCTTGACCTGCCGTAATCCTAGCTGTTCTAGCCATTGTTTGTTACTTAGCCGGTTCTCTGTTTCCAAGAGTTGGAAAGAAAACATCAGAGAAGAGACAAAAATCAATGGCGATTGCGAACCAGAAGTCGGAAGAGTCAGTACTTATATTAAAAAGTTAAAAATGTGTTAATTATCAAAAGGCATAATTGAAGACGAGCATCGAAAACTAAACCAGAAGTCTGCTTTGGTTTAGGAAAGCAACTACTGCTACCAGAACAACTATTGCAACTAACAGCTTTTTAATTATTATGTCCAATTTGCTACTAATTGATCCTAGAATACTTACAAGTACTTTCTGACATGCAACCAAGGACGCCTATGAAACTTTGTCCGTGTCTTCACGATTGTTGTAGGACCTTCTGGAAACTCCGGGTTCACAACAACTTGTTTTCTGATAAAAAAAAAAGAAAAATTATATTACACCTCATGAAATTATTCATTTAAAAATTACTAACGTTCTAGTAACAGTCTTTACAGATGGGGGTGCCTCAACCTCTTGTTCGATTATCGTTGGTGGCGCTGGTACTTTAATTGTTTTTTCTACTACAGTGGGTACTCGTATAGTTTTCTCAACGTATGATGGTACCTGAAAGAAACATAGACTAGGAGTAATTTTTCTAATGTTTATGATTTGATATCATTACCTGGATAGTTTTTTCAACATAATTTGGTATAACAGTTCTCTCTACGTAAGTTTTTTTAGGCGGAGGTTGTGCAGCAACTTGCTTTTCTATTTCAATAGCTACTTTTGACTTGTTTGGCACATCTTTCTCCTTAATGACTTCAACGTCAACTGTTGATGGCGGTGCGGCGATTTTTTGTATGTTCAGGGAACCCGAAATTGAACTTGCTACAGACAAACAAAAAAAATATATAACAAAAAATTGCAATTAAATACAATAATAAACAAAACTTATTTACCTTGACTTTCGCATTACAACTTAACATATTCTAATTATTTATAGGGTCCAACACCGTTCATCGTTTATTTTTGTCACGTTTTTAATGGGAAAAATATGGAAAAGAGAATAATAATTTTAAAAGGTATAGTTATTAATAAGACCAATCACCATAATAAATAAATTGTTTATTGAAGAAATATAGAAATTATACAACTCATACATAAAAGCCTGGAAAAAAAGAAATTTAAATAATATCAATACTCACCCTTACAACAACAGATTAATATTCTAATAACAGTTTGTTAAAATACATCACACCAATAATAAAAGACTCTCTAACAATCATTACTATACCGTATACAATCGTAATAAGACGAATATCTACCTCCTGGTGGAGCTCCGTAAGTTTCTTTGATGACAGTTCTGCCAACTCCTCCTGCAGATGCTCCTGCGTAGGAGCGACCTGCAGATCCGTCGGCTCCGGCGACTCCGTCCAAGCCTGCGGATGCTCCAATTCCGCCTCCCGCTGTAGCTCCGGCGTAGAGTCCTCCAACGGAACGACCTGAAATTGAAACCATGTATAAGTTCAATTCTTATTCAATTTCTAGATATTTATCAGTTCATGCCCAAACCCAAATTTAGTGTTTCCTCGGATTTTCACAACCTTCCATTATTATTCTGGATTTCTTTGAAATGAGAGGCACCTCCCTATCCAAGAAAGATTTAACTGGTTTATGAATTTGATTCACCGTTTTTGACATCAAAAAAGAGGAAGAAGTAACTATTGGTAATGAAAATGAAGGGAAAGTCAAGGAAAATTGGAGGATTAAAAATGTTGGTCATGGGCGGGATTCGAACCCGGGTCTTCAGCATTGCCGGTGCTACGCTCTAACCAACTTAAGGCCTGATTTCCTCGAACATTCGGTCGCGGAGAGCGAACAGTTCGTCGGCCGTAGCGAGTTGAAGATTTTATCCAACCAGAGCTTTTCAAATAAGTCTGGTTTCCTCGAATCCGCTTAACTGAGCGGATCCGCTCTGCTCCGCAAACCTGTGGCCGCTCAGGTGAGCGGATTCGAGGAAACCAGGTTATTTGAAATGCTCTGGTAGGATAAAATCGTCAAATCGCGTCGGTCGACGGACTGTCCGCTCTCCGCGATCGAATGTTCGAGAAAACTAGACCTTAAGCCATCACGACCGTGTAGATCTTTTTGATTTTTTTTTTTTGGTGTTGTTAGAGGAAGTTGCGTGGTTCTTTGCTCATTGCCAAACTTCTCAATCCTCCAATAAACCCACTCATTTATGTAATCGGTCCTAACTCGAATAAGCTCCTTATTACTCTGTAGGTTTCGTCCATGTGTGCTGAAGCTTGGTGTATGCGTATGCGATGCCCGCATAAGCAATTTTGACTGATGCCATAAATGTGTGGGTTTATTGGAGGATTGAGAACTTTGGCAATGAGCAGAGAACCACGCAACTTCCTCTAACAAAACCAAGATAAAAATCAAAAAGATCTGTAGGGTCGTGGTGAGTAAGTTGGTTACCTAATATTCTTCAGCTTTCTCTTCATATTCAATTTCTACGCTTTTCGGCTGTTGTAACCGACAAAAAGTTTTTCTATTGGTAATGATCCGTGAGAAAATCTGAGGAAATTGAAGGAAGTCCTGGAAACATCTATCAGATAATAGAGGAAGTTCTCATACAAACTTTGCGAAATGGCTCTCGTTTTTATGGGGCTCACCGCCACTTTTGCTGACTTTTTTCGAACTTCCTCAGATTTTCTCGGATTCTCGGATTTCTCCAAATCTCTCTGGACTCAGAAAAACCCGATAAATTTGGAGGAAGTTAAATGAAAATGTAAGGAGGTGATGATGAGATGGTGTGCTTGTGATACACGTATAAGAGAGAGACTTTCCAAGAAGAAATATTTCTCGTACTTTCTTTGAACTTCCTTCGAATTGCTTCGAATTTGCTGATTTGTTTCGAATATTCATAAAGAATAAATTAACTTCATGAATTAGAATAAACTTTTGATTCAATATCACTTGTACCTACCCAAAATTGAATATTTAAAAAGAAAATTTCATATGAACTTCCTCGTTATTTTCCTTATTTTTGCATGGAGGTTGTAACTTCCCAGATAAATTCTCCCCCAAGGAATTGCAAAGGACAAAGGGAAACGCAGTTTGTGGTAATCCGGGTAGTACCTACCAGAAAAGCAACTCTCAGGAAGTATTGATGAAATCTATGAAGTTTTGGAAAAATACGAAGAAGTATAGAGATTCAGGAACTCTCGTGGGAACAGACCTATGAAGGATTTCAGGAATACAGGAATTGGAGGACGAGACGAGAGGTCGATTTTCTCTCTCTAAAGTCCCTTCGAGACGAGACACCACTGGCAAATTTCAATGTTTTCCAGAACCTTGAGTATTATGGATAATACTACATTTCTCTTACTTCCGCTATGATTCCTTGGAAAGCTGACAGGAATGTTTTCACATCCAGCCAAGCAAGAACAGAGGAGATAAAAGACGGTCAAAACTAAGAGGTCTGTTCTCACAACAGTCTCAGACAGTTTGAAAACTATCAGAAACAATTGCTCAGCTAAGTTACTGATTCATCTTGGATGAGCGACAACGAAAACATGTATGGGGGACAGTTAGCAAACTGTCAGAAACTCTTGTGAGAACAGATCTATGAAGGATTACAGAAATACAGAAATTAGAGGAAGCTTATGCAGAAGTCGTTCCAAACTTCGGTGATATCGCCGCGGCGAGAAATTCTCAATGTTTTCCAGAACCTATTATGGATAGTATTACATTTCTCTTACTTCCGCTACCATTCCTTGGAAAGCTAGGTACCTACCTGGAATGTTTTCACATCCAGCCAAGGAAGTACAGAGTAGGAGAAAAGACGGTTAAGACTAAGAGGTCTGTTCTCACAAAAGTCCCAAGCCGTTTGCAAACTATCAAAAACAATCGCTCAGCTAAGTTACTGATTTATCTTGGAACGGCAGCAACGAAAACATGTATGGGCGACAGTTAGCCAACTGTCAGAAACTCTTATGAGAACAGATCTATGAAGGATTTCAGAAATACAGGAATAAGAGGAAGTTTTATGCAAAAGTCGATCCAAGCTTCAGTGATGAGGCGAGAGATTATCAATGTTTTCCAGAACCTTGGGTACATTTCTCTTACTTCCGCTACCATTCCTTGAAAAGCTACTTGGAATGTTTTCACATCCAACCAAGGAAGTACACTGTAGAAGGGACGGTTAAAACTAAGAGGTCTATTCTCACAAGAGTCTCAAACAGTTTGCAAACTATCAGACACAATCTCTCAGTTAAGTTGCTGATTTATCCTGGAACGACGGCAATGAAAACATGTATGGGGGAAAGTTAGCAAACTGTCAGAAACTCTTGTGAGAACAAACCTATAAATGATTTTAGGAATGAAGGCATTGGAGGGAGTTTTATGCATAAGTCGTTCCAAACTTTAGTGATGCCGCCGAGACGAGGAGCCGATTTTCACCCAAAAAGTCACTTCCACACTCGTCGAGAATATCTCGAGTTCTCTCGAGCACTCTCGCTCTCTCGAGCAATATGAATTCATTGTTTGTCCACGCCACTGACTGGACAATATTATATTTTCCTGAACCTTGGGTATTATGGGTAATATTACATTTTTATATTTTCAAAAGTTGAGGAGCGAGAATACATTTTTTGCATTTTCTTAACCTCGGAGACGAAATTAATTTACTCACGAGAGAAAACGAAACGAGACGAGGGAAGAGCTTTCTCGTCTCGTATCGAGGATCTCTCGTTGAGACGAGAGACTCATTTTCTCTTGTACCTTCGAGACAAGTTCTCGTCTCGTCTACCGATATCACTACTAAACTTCCTCCGAATTCCTGAGGTTTTCTTTATAATCCCGCATATACCTACTTGCTCTTTTCTTGTATTTTCTGATTTTTCTCCCCAAGCTTCCCTACTCTTTCTACATTTTCCTGGATAGGAAGCCACCTGGAAAGATTTCACTTTCACCCAAAGAATCAAAATAAGCTGATATTGAAAAATCATTCCATTGTCATATGTGCCTGAAATTATTCCTGAAAAATTGTCTAGATGTACCTATCAGAAATATGACGTTTCGAGCATGACTGAGATAATTGCTATGACACTAACTTTCAGAACACTCATATAGTTTTGCAATTTCTTCATAAAAGGATCATTGTACGAATAAAAATTCATGAGCATATGAAGCATGAAAGGCAGGCATTGAAATAATAGAAAAAGTCCCATATTTTATGCAGTTTTATGCTTTTTTGTATTTGACAAAGCAACACAAAGCTATGGACGCTTTTACCAATGAGTCAAAAACAAAAATTGAAAATGATACAAAACCCACACAAAAAGATGTTTTATTAAAGACTAATGAGAGTGCGTTACATTTGCTTGTGCACAAAATATGTTAGAGAATGATGCTTTCCCATTCAAAATATTGAAAAAAAAAACACAATGACCATATGCACACACATGAAATATTATTAATCATTATGTGAAATAATGTTCGTTAATTACCAATTAATTTATGTTGCTCGGTTTTTAGCAACCTCTTCAGTCTCACAACCGAACAAAAGTGTAATAATTCTACTACAGCTGTAGCTATATTTGTTTAATTTGTTACCGTTTCCGTCGACTCTTCCACCCAAACCAGCTCCAGCTTTTTGACCGAACGGAGTTTCAGCTTCGGCGTGGAGACCTCCTTGGCTCATGTCGCCTGTAAGGAGACCTCCAAGACCCGCTGAAGCTTTAAAACCGAAAAAATTCACTCCAATGTTGCCGTCTTTGAAGGTTAATAGAGGCGGGATCTACAAAAAAATCATAATTATATCAATTTAGTACAATTAGTATTTTTTGCTTACCCCTGGTGGTGTATCAGCATCATCATTGTTTTTGGGTGATGGTGCCGCAATAACTTGGTATGCTAAGCCGTAAAGAATTAAAGCTGCTTGACACAATCCCATAGTTACACTTTTTTATTAACTAAAGAAATAAATAATGTGCTTTTTACTAAAGGTTAATTAACAAAAGGGGCTTGCAAAAAAAATATGAGCTTCCATTTTACAACAATAATTATACAAAGGCATATTTCTAATTATAAAACTGCTACGTTTTTATTTTCTGCTTTAATTCCAGAGGCAAAGTATGCAAATTATAATTAACTGAAGACACGTAACTCTTTTTGAAAAATGGTAAAAAACATTTTTAAATATGCAAAGTTAATATGTAAATATAAAATTACCTTGTTTGATAGGAAAGCAAAATATCTAAACTAGAGACACATCACACGCCTCCAAACAATACGAAATTACCGCTCACGGGCGAGTGACTTGGTAACTCCAACTGACCAGAACAAATCACTATTAAACTAGTATAATAATATATTTACACAAAAAAAAAATTACATTTCTCTGAACGAGTGTTATTTCCTACTACATCACTGAACCCATTAGATCCAAGGTTCCAAAACGTAACCAGTAAGTCATTTTTTTTTCTCTATATAACCCGTATTAATAATAATATGTTTATATGGAAATATTTTTTCCGTGTGAACTTTGAATTTATTAGGTAGTTAATTGTAGACAGTGATTGCGGATAATGGCAAATTAATTCAGTCAATCAGTTGGAAAGAGAATGCATAGGTAAAAGGGAACTAATTCATCCTTGCACTGAGAAAATCGCGTTAACTAGATGCGCGAGTTATATTTTTTTAGTTACCATTACTAAAAAAATTGTTATTGCGACATAACTGGTCTTGCTCTAGCAGTCATTTTAACTTAGTTGCAATTCTTAGGTCGTCACAACTAAGCCTCGATTTCTGATAATTGAACATTTTGGTAGCCAACTATCATTGTAGTTGTAGCAACCAGCAACATGTATTAACTAAGTGGTTGGGTTTTATAAAAAAGCAGATAAAAAATAACCGAAATAATTAGTTGAGCAAACGGAAATCTAGTTGCAACAACTAGCACTCGGTAGTAGAATGTTCGGGAGATTCCGTTGGCCAATGGGACGCCAAGCTTTGGCTGTTCGGTCTTCGGCTTCATTCAAGTTCATTCCACATATAAAGAAAATACATGAAGCATATGCTATGTGTGTGATTTTAATTCCTATCATAGTTCCAATTTAGTTTTCTCTCATGGTGCTTTTAAAAAAAAAGTCTGTTGAAATTTGCTGTTGCTGTTGCTAGTGGGATTTGAACTCACGATACTGGGCTTCCGCCCTCTAGATTTATGGTGACATATACATACATATACATATAAGCCTCCCCCTTCTCCAGCTGGAGACGCAGTAACAAATGCAACTTTGAAGTCGTTTAGCAAGAAATGACTAATAAACAAAATGAAGTTGTAAACTCCGTCAATTTTTGTTCAGACAAAATCACCGACTTTGAGGCAATAATCACGAAATTTACTAGCTACATTAAAGATATTGAAAGCTTAAAGTCTGAAAATATGAAGCTGAAAAATACAGTAGAGTCACTTACAAAAAAGGTGAACCGTATTGAGCAATACGCTAGGATCAATAAATTAGAGTTTCAAGGCATTCCTGTTAAGACAAATGAAAATCTACAAACTGTAATAGAAACGGTGCATACATCATTGGGATTATTGAATATAAACAATTCGATGGTGGAATATGCTCAAAGAGTTCAGCCTTTTGATAAGGAAAAGAACAAAAATATTATCATTAAATATAAATCAAAACATGTAAGAGACAGCGTACTTGAAGCAGTCAGATCAAAGAGGCTCACTGCCCCGAACAGAATTTTAGCTATTGCTGGCATCTCCAACCACCTCTATATCAACGAACATCTGAGTCCGGAAAATAAGCTGCTATACAAAAAGGCCAGAGAGCAGGCCAAAGCAAAAAATTACAAATACGTCTGGACAAAAGATGGAAATATATTGATGAGAGAATCCGAAGGAAAACCTGTAAAGTTAATAACAATGCTTGACGATCTAGCGAGACTGTAAACTATTAACTATTTTATATTCATATCTATATTAAAGTGACTGTTTTTGTTTTCCAATGGAGCTATCCGTTTTTTACCAAAATGTTAAAGGTTTACGCACAAAAATAAATGACTTTAGATCCAGTGTTTTAAGTAATGACTATGACATTATTTTTATAACGGAAAGTTGGCTTAATGACACAATCAGTTCATATGATCTATTTGGTAACAATTATCAGGTATTTCGGCGAGATAGGTGCGACAGTAAATCTAAAAAAAGTGATGGTGGGGGAGCTTTGCTCGCCATACATAAAAATTCGAACTCCGTTATACAACCTGACTGGGAGAGCGAGGCAGAGGATGTTTGGGTAACCATCTACAGCCCTAATGGTAAGATCCATCTATGTTGTGTGTACTGACCTCCAGGGGATGACGATGCAATGGGATGTTTTACTAATAACATGTATAGACTTTTTGACAAATTTAACAATGATGCGGTAATAATTTGCGGCGATTTCAATATGCCCAAAACTTTCTGGATTGAAAGAAACAATTTATTGATCCCGACTTTTGTTGAAAATAGGCATAAAGAACTCATAGATGTGCTTAACTTCTTAGGACTCTGTCAATTCAATTATTTAGGAAATCTTAACAATAGAGTTTTAGACTTAGTTTTTTCCAATAAATCAAATATACATAGCTTACAATCGACAATCTCTTTGGTCAAAGAAGACCCACACCACAAAAGTATTACATTTTTGATTAAAACATCAGAACAATTTCAAACTTTAAAGAATAACATATCCTGTGTGAGACAGTTTCGGAAAGGAAATTATACACGTATTAACGCAGAACTAAATAGTACTAATAGGCAACAGTTATTTTTATCGTGCAATACAGTTGATAATTGTGTGAGTCTTCTTTATAATAAATTAAATTCTTTAGTCGAAAAATTTGTCCCGGAAAGAAGAATAACGAATTCATATCCGCTTTATTACTCCCAAAGCACTATAAAGTTATTACAGAGAAAAGAAAAATTACATAGAAAGTGGAAAAACACAAATAGCATATATGATTATGAAACTTATAGTATATTACGTAAAAATTGCAAAAAAATTATTAATAATGATTTTAAATCTTTTGTCGAAAAAACCCAAGTCGACCTTCGAGAGAATCCTAAGAGGTTCTGGTATCTCATTTCGGCGAAAAACAAAGATAGGGGAATACCAAACTCTATGACGCTAGATAATATTTCATGTGAAGGGCCTGAAATTTGCAACCTTTTTGTGAATCATTTTCAAAAGAGCTTTTCTCCCTATACACAAACGTTCTCTAAACTTGAACAGAATAATTTAAATCTAGTAAATAATCTGATCGTGAGCCAGAGTGAGGTGCTAGAGATCTTGGAGAAGTTGAATGAAAATAAGGGTGAGGGTCCTGACGGATTACCTTCGTACTTTATTAAACAATGCGCCACTGGACTATGTAAGCCACTACTCTTGATTTTTAACAGATCAATACAAGAATCAACTTTTCCTTCCCTTTGGAAAGTGGCTCATGTTGTTCCTATCTACAAAAATGGTAACAAAAATCTGATATCAAACTACAGACCGATAAGTAAACTAAATATAATCAGTAAAGTTTTTGAGCAAATAATTTACAATGTGATATTAAGCAATATTAAAAGCAGATTTATTAGGGAACAGCATGGCTTCATTCCAAAAAGATCCGTTGACACAAACTTGGTAACCTATACCGAAAATATTTTAATGGCCATGGATGCTCAGGTTCAGGTGGATTCCGAGTCCGAGTCCCTCAGGGCTCGAACCTCGGGCCACTGCTTTTTATTTGTTTTCTTAATGACCTACCTCTCCATATTTCATTCTGCAAGCTAGCGGGGTTCGCGGATGATTTCAAAATTTATTAACCTATTGCATCAATTCACGACTGCCTCAAACTTCAAAGAGATCTTGACCAATTTGAAAAATATTGTATTGAAAATAAACTCCACCTCAACGCAGATAAATGTAAAGTAATAACATTTAGTAAAAACAAAAAGTTATTTTCATATGGCTATACATTATCAAATCATATACTACAAAAAGTTGAGTTTATTAGAGACCTTGGTATAGTATTTGATAGCAGAATGACATTCATTCAACACATTGATTCAGTCGTGGCTAAATGTAATAAAATGATGGGTTTCATATTGCGTAACTGTAGGAATTTTACATCAATGGAAGCTATGAAATCGCTCTATTTTGCCTATGTATATAGCAAATTGAGCTATGGATCGGTCGTTTGGTCACCACAATATGATGTACATGCTAAAAGGCTAGAAATTGTACAAAATAATTTTTTCTGCGATTGACAAGAAATGTCAGCATTTTTGACCAGTTGTCAGGTCGGAAAACTCAATATTCTGGTATTTCAATTATGTTTCAATAGTTGCTAAGGAATCAATGAATAACAATACGGGAAACACTTTTCCGGCCTAGGCCGGGAAAGTGATTCTCGTATTGCTGAATAATTGGAACTATAAGACAAACATTTAACAGGTATTTAACCGATCGCAGAAAAAATAGTATGTGTATTTCGGTGGAAAAGCACATTCTCGGCCTTCGGTGTTTGTCGGCCTCGGCTACGCCTCGCCCGCCAACTTACACCGTCGGCGGAGAATGTGTCACTTTTCCACCTAAATACACAATATACTATTCTCAGATATTTGCACTACAGAAGTACGGGAGTTTATGACAATACGGTCAGTACTGATTCCTTGAGGCGGTCGCAGAAATTTGTAAAAATAAAAGACAGACACGAACAAAATGAACAAATTCATTTTAAAATATTAAATAATTTGGTAGAATCACCAGAGTTATTGTCATTAATAAACTTTAATGTGCCTATAAGGAACTTTCGAAACCATCAGCTTTTCACAGAGCCAAATTTTTCCGCTAATTATACTCGTAATTCACCAATTTCTCGAATGATGAGAAACTACAATAATAATTTTCAAAACATCGATCTTTTTAACTCTTCTCTCACTTCCTTTAAAAACAATATCAAAAATGTTTATCTTCAGAGACTAATTTGAACAAAAAACTAGATAAGGCGAATATGAATTTTTTTTCTTCTATATTGCGGTGCCAAGTAAACATAATAATAATTATTATTAATCGAAAATTTCTATTTCAAGTTAAATTTAGTTTTAGTTTTTTAGTTTAAGTATTCATCTTGTTTATAAATTGTTATTTTGTGAATGCTGTTTTGGACTTCGGTCTGTTGGCATTCCTGTTGTATTAAATAAATAAATAAATAAATAAACATATTATACATACAGCCTCGGCTACAGCGGTGTATTTATTATTATTATTACTATTATTAAAATTTTTAGAAGTTTTATTGTCTGTTTTTATAATTTACAGTGTGTTCAATTTTAATGGCATGCAGACTTTTCAATTAAAATTGATGAAAAATTTTCTTGCCGCGACTAGGATTTGAACCCAGGACCCTCGCATATCCAGTGCAACGCTCTACCAACTGAGCTACCAAGACTTTCACTTCTACCTTGTCGATCAAGTCTCGTATCAATTTTAAGGTGTTAGTTGGTCTTCACAACTAACCAAGAAATGAAACAGGTCTCGGTAGCTCAGTTGGTAGAGCGTTGCACGTCATTGGTTGCACTGGATATGCGAGGGTCCTGTGTTCAAATCCTAGTCGAGGCAAGAACATTTTTTCATCAATTTTAACTGAAACGTCTGCCTGCATGCGATTAAAATTGAACACACTGTAAATTATTATTATTATTGTCTCTTATCTCACAGCTTTTCTTTAGCTATGGTAGTATTTTTTTTGAAGAATCACCGGGTGCACACCGTACACCTAAGGTGTTCGATTCAGTCTGATGGTTTGTTTTTCTTTGCTAAATTACTTTTTGCATAATATGACCTGTGCTCAGCCCTACTGCCTTTTGCATGTTTAGTACATTGTGATGACCAGAAACTTCTTTAATGATTTCGCATGTATAGGTGGATACAAGTCCTGTGGCTCCAATCACTACGGGTGTAACCTTTGTTCTCAGGTTCCGCATTCGTTGTATCTCAATCTGCAGGTCTTTTTATTTCATGCGTTTTTTAGCTTCTTTTTGAGTGATGTTGTAGTCCGATGGTATGGCAAGGCAACATCGATAAGAAAGCAAGTTTTCTATTTTTTTATCTTTCATTATAATTTCTGGTTTATTATAGCATCGATTCTCCTGTCTGTCTGTACTTGAGTATCCCAGATTATGTTTATTTCAGGTGTTTCTATAACAGGATCTGGGATGTGTTATACCATCGGTCTTGTGTTTGTATTCCGTAAGCTTTGCATATATTCCAGTGAAGTTGTTTTGCCACAGTGTTATGAAGGTCTTAAAAAGCTCGTTTAGCCAGGATCGGGCAGCCAGACACGACGTGATGAATTGTTTCATCAAATGACCGGAACAGTCTACATTTTGGGTCAGTACCGGTTTTCATTATTTTCGCCTTCATATAATTCGTCGCGATGGCTTTTTCCTCCATTTTTCTTTTTGTTCTTGTTTTGACTGTTGTCTCATTTAATCTTTGATGGTTTTTACTCCTTTGGTTTCTGTTTCTTTTTTGATAGTGGATTCTGTTTGCTCGGTATCATATTTTATGTCTTCCTCAGTCTGGTCCAGTTTTTTTGTTGTTGTCGGTATACTATCCCTAGGTATTTGTTTTTTTTTTCTTCAGCTTCAAGTAGTTTTCCAAACATGCCATAGCGATATTGTGGGTGTTCTCGAGGCTTGTCATTCCTCTTCCTCTTTCTTTCCGTGAGATGTACAAACGGTTACCATCAACTCTGTGGTGAAGTGCTCCATTCATGGTAAGTAGTTTTCTTTTCTTACAAAAATTTTTCCTTATTTCTGCTTTGGTCCACTTGACGATGTCAAAGCTGTGAAGATATCGAGAACAACGACATATTGAGTAGAGCAGCACTAATCTTATGATCAGAAATTGAAAATATTGAACGGAAGCTACGATCACGGCCAGTAGCATGATTGCTGGAGAATGTGAAGTACCAAACATTTTATCAGAATTTATTTCCACTTCGATTTCTACAACAAAGCGTCGTCAGCGTAGATCACACAAGCAACGATTGTCTAATTCTTTTTTCCGAAGATCTCATTTACGCAGTAACGAATGGTACAATACAACCTTCGAAACAGGTTACTTTGGGAATGACTTTAAAAAGGCTAACGAATAGTAAGAAGGTCATTAACATTATAAATAGGCTCGGTAACTGTTTCAGCTAGACTCTGTTTGAGGAAATGGAAATAGAAGCGACTTTTGCATATCAGTTTCTCACACAGATATTTGTCCTGAAGACATAATACGTTCATCGAGCCTTAAAGTACGTCTTGCTTTCGATAACTTTGATAGATTTGGATTTGTGGACACCACAAGTGGTAAAGATACTCTACATGATACTGTAGGTATAATTATTCAAGACCTAAACGATAATCCTCAAAAAAGCCAAGATGCTTTGTTACAAAGTAATCTTCAGAATCAAGAACAGCCTGAACAAACAGGAAAAAGATATCGATCTTTGGATCTCTGTGACGTTTGAACTACCACCATACAATAAAATACCAAGATTTGCAGAAAAATTAGAGAATTACGAGAGTCCTCTAAGATCGCGTGACAAAAGTATTGTAAAAGCTTAAGCGAATTGATATAGCTTGGCTAATGACTATTTGAAAATTCCCAATACACCATCTTGGATTGGATACAAATAGTATGATATACGAGGATCGTAGCTGTACACAAAAGAAGTAAATCAACTAGTCCTACAGTTACAAATGAAAATCTATCAAACATTCTGCGAGAGAACGAGAAGTTTGTACAGGAAATACTAGCAGGTAAACATGGAAAGACTCCTAAATTCTACAGCTACATGATCTACATTACTTTGGTGGATATTTATCTAATGTTAAATCGCAGCATCAGATTACCAGATTTCGATTTGTTCTAATATATTTTATCTCGAATGTCAAGTATTTTTTTCATTTTATATCACCAGAATTTATTAGTCTCGCTTTTTATTATTGTATCATGAAAATTTGTTGAAAGTTCAAAATACCAATACCAAAATCGAGGCTTAGAGCAACAACTGAAAGAAGGTTCATTTGGTGTTGAAAGAACCGAGAAACCATTCTCAAGACAAGCAATCGATTTTACTTTAGAACAAACCTAAACGCGGACGCAGCAAATAAGTGAACAGGAATTAGTTATTTGACGAATTCACTCGGAGCTCGACAACGGTGGTGCAAAAGTCACAGCATTCTTTCGACTATCATTACTTTCATGATGTATAAAACTGGTTTACGTAAATCGCAAGACATCACAGCCGATCTAAGAAGTAATAGGATCAAAAAACATACTTAAATCCTTTCTCAGAAAATGTTGACAAACAATGGTTGAACAACATTACAACTGGCCAGGCTGTAAACGCAGATGTTGAGAAATGTTTAGGTACTGAATGTGAGAGGGTTAGGCATAAAACAACAAGAAACATTCGTTAGAGAATGTTCAGAAGACAATCACAGATTTGAAAACCTTATAAGGAGAAATAAAATTACGTTTGCTGACGCAGTGGCAGAACGAGAAATGTTCGTGAAGAAACAATTGTTAGAAGCGAAAATGCATAGAGACATTTTTGGAAAGTTGCTGCGACTGTCTTTAGAATAAACCTTGAATATTGATGTAGTTTTATCGTGTCCTTTAACACCTATTCCACTGGCTTTATGTCATGCAAATGGTGCAATTTTCAGAACAGACAAATCGGTTGTAGTTCATGTATTGAAAAAAGAAATAGAAAGTTCAGAGCCTGCAGCATGCGACGTCATCGTTTACGATGGTTTGTTTATTTATTGAAAGATCTACCTTTTCCTTTGGTAATATTTCAGAGAAAATACTAGGTGTGTTCACGGCAACTGATGCTAAGATTGTGATAATTTGTTTTGATCGTTATTTTCATCCATCTATCACAAATAACGATCATTTGCTAAGGGGCAGAATAGAAGGCAACAGATATGTAACCCAAGGACCAGATTAAAAAAGATTTACAAAACATTCATTTTAAAGATGCCCTGATTAAATTTCTGTGCGACCATTGGAAAGAAGATCATAATTATGTCTCCTCTCTTGGCAGGAAAAACCATCTACATAAATTATGAAACGTGTTACAAGTACCTAGGATGTTGTTAATGGTAAAGTACAACAAAGTGATTTATCACACTCATCGGATCACGGGGAAGCAGATACTTGAATTGCTTTTCATGTGTGCAAAATAAATTTTTATGCTCGAGTTACGATATGATGTTCCGATACCGACATCTTGATAATAATGAATGCATTAACAAAAAATCTGCTGATCTCATCGCTTGTAAGTACCTACTGGAAATGCACGCAGTTACATCATCATCACAGAATTGTACAAAAAATTGGGTGATGATTTATAGTCCAAGAAACGGGGATCTGAAAAGAGGATTTACCTCAACATAATTAGAAGTTAACATTTTTTGGGAGGGATCGGTCCATTTTCATGTGCTTAATAACATATTAAGTTTGCGACCTTGTACTTCCATAGGGTTTTTAGTTAGGGGTGGTTTTTAGAGGTAATTTGCGGTTTATGGAGATAGATGCAACAGCGGCCGAATGCATAATCCGATTTCAATTTTTCAAACACCACATTATTGCTTATGAAATGCACTCCCCCAATGCTTTTTTTTTTAGAATTTCTTGCTTGGAAATTAAGCGAGCACGGACTTGCCTGATGTGCGAGGAAGTTGTAAATTACATCGAAAACTACCCCTTTTTTTCATTCACTGTAATTCCTAAACGGGGCCATTGGGTGACAGTTTTCAACAATCGGCAGCCCATTTATTCCTCTCATAATGCCCCAGCGGATTTTTTTTTCGTTAATTACTCAATGACTTATTATATTGGCCTGAACACGTCGCGCAGAATTTTTCAAAAAGTCAAAAAAAATTTAAATTGTCGCACAGCGCTGAAATTTGGTACGATGGCTTTATTTATTGTTCTTATGAATATACTGCAATTTTAATTGCTTCACATGACTGCTGCAACAATTAGAATTGCAGTATATTTATGAGAACAATAAATAATGGCATCGTACCAAATTTCAATGCTGTGCGACAATTTTAATTTTTTTTTTACTTTTTGAAAAATTCCGCGCGACGTGTACGGGCCAATAATTCATTGAGTGATTAACGAAAAAAAAAATCCGCTGGGGCAATATGAGAGGCATAAATGGCCTGCCGACGAGGCTGCTGATTGTCGAAAACTCTCACCAAATATTTGGCCCCGTTTAGAAATTACAATGAATGCAAGAAAGGGGTAGTTTTTGATACAATTTACAACTTCTACGCACATTAGGAGAGTCCTGCTCGCTTAATTTTCAAGCAAAAAAATTCGAACAAAAAAGTATTGGAGAGTGCATTTCATTAGAAATAATGTGGTGT